CCCTGCTAAAACGTTTGCCGCCATCTTTTTTATAAGCCCCCTTCAAGTACTGATAGGCTGCAATAAGGTCTCCGCAAAGCCTTCTCTTCTCTAGGCTGAACAATGCCAACTCCCTCAGCCTTTCTTCACAGGAGAGGTGTTCCAGCCCCCTATCATTTTCGTGGCCCTTTTCTGGACCCGCTCCAAGAGGTCCGTGTTTTTCTTCTGCTGAGGGCTCCAGAGCTGGGCACAGTACTCCAGGGGGGGTCTCACCAGAGCAGAGTAGGGGGCAGAATCCCCTCCCTTGACCTGCTGGCCATGCTTCTTTTGATGCAGCCCAGGATACGATTGGCCTTCTGGGCTGCAAGCGCACATTGCTGGCTCATGTCCAGCTTTTCACCCACCAGTACCCCCAAGTCCTTCTCGGCAGAACTGCTCTCAATCCTTTCATCCCCTGAAAGCTGTAACGGCACTTGCAGCCATGAAGACTACAGGCCTAAACTGTTAGGCCAGCTTGGTCTTTGCTGCAACATGCATGCATGGTGGCATTGGCACACACATGGTGAGAAGGTCAGGGCTGCTCAGGTGTCCTGCATGGCATGTCCTTCCACAGCTAGTGTTAGGGTACTCAGTGCTGTGCGTGCACACACGCACACACATGGAGTAGCATTCAGGATTCTCCATCAGCACCAGCTCAAATGTGCTGCCACGTTCGAACCTCAGATGTACCCTGGCCAGGCTGAGGGTCTGTTTTGGCCCTACGGCCTATTACCATTTTAAGTATGATAGCCCTCCCTCCAGCAGACTATACGCACATCTGAGAGGTCCAGGAAGCGGTTCAGGAAGATGAATGCCATGTTCTCCCAGTTGACTGCCTAATACAGAGAGAAACCCCAAGTAAGACCAGGCAGCTTATCTTCACAGCCACAACTCTCCTGCCTGAGCGATGGCTAGAAAGCATGTGATTCAGTTTGTGCCAAAACATCCCACTTGCAGCACAAGTAATGGAGAAGGAGAGTGCACATCCTGGCTCACCATCCCTGAGGACTGCTTCACAGGCAACCACTGGGACAACTAGCCCATTAGCTACAGGCTGTCCCACAAGATGGAGTCGGGCATTATTGCACAGCCAGCATCATCAGACAGCGAGAACATGCTGCCATGCTTGCCATGTGTCATTGCGTCCAGGCAGGTGGTCAGAGCCTGTAGTCTCAGGAGTAAGGTAACACTTAGGTAATGCAGAGCAAGGCAGACCAGTTAGGCGTCCTGAATCTACACTAACAGAGCCATGTGATATAATGTGGCCTCTGGCCTACCCCCTGGGTCTGCAGTTCATGTCCCCTTGCTAGCTCAGGTCTGCCCTCCCACTACCTACTGCCATTCCATGATAAAATGCAAAGGCTAGCAAGGTGTTTGAGGTAAGACCTCCAATGCCAGTGTCCGGCTACTGGTCTACCAGTGCAGCTAGGGGAGGATAGGGGAAGATAAAAGTTGAGAATCCCTGAGCCCAGCGTCC